ATCCGGTCCCCTTTTCAAGATTTCCCAGTCGAACCGGGCGAGTCCGGTTCGACTCGGCGTTTTTTAAAACGCTCGTCAAAACTGATAAGAATGCCTGTTCATGAGCATAGGAAACAAGAATAGGAAAGCCTGAGAAAGAGAGAGCGCACCATTTCTCTTGGCCCTTGTAGGACAAGAAAAGGCTCTTGTGAGCTCCCGCGAGTCCGGCCCCAGTGGGCCACTCTAGACCCGACTATACCCTGGCGACGTTAAACAATAAATTCGGGATATGAATGGAATCTTAAAGCCATTTATAAAAGAACGAAATTTTTATAAGGCCTAGGTTTTATGAAAACACAATAAAGCCCCTCCTTAAATCCTCATCCCGAGAAGGCTTTTGGCAATATAAATCTCCATAATGAATCTGAAATCAATTTCCAATACTAAAAAAAAAAATTGAAACTCAAAAAATGATATAGATCTTGCGGATCTAGTAGCACTTATTTTTAGGGTGAAATGGACGGATAGATAATTTGTTACAATATATACTATTTTTAGAGTTTAAAATCTTAATTTTTTTTTCAACAACCCTAATATTCAAGATGAGATGACTTTTTTTTTCATGTTTTTTTACAAATCTTGCAATTCATTCTAAACCCAAAAAATAAATCCTAAACACATACAAGCACATATGTACATCCATGTATGTATGGAAAAAATTTATATGAGGAGGCAACCTCTCGGGCTGAAGTAAGGTTGCAGTAAGCTATATTGCCAATTTTACTTTAACCATAAATATTAGATTTTATCAAAAAAATGTGCTCTTAAGGACTTGGTTTCTATGAGTCCATCGACTCATACTATTCAAGTGCACCTCACCCACCTGAAAAAAGATGTTCTAATGATAGAAACAGTGTTCGTAAAATCGAACCAGAACGGTCAACTGGACATAGAGTTGGGAGCGGTTAGAATGGAAACCGGACTTACCAGGCCAGTTAATCGGACTAATTGGCCAAGTAGATTTTTTCTTTTAAAAAAAAAGGGTCAAAAACCCCAAAAAAATTTTAAACAAATAGAAAAACTTAGATTAAATATATAATATCTTATTACATACATTCATCTTACAAAAAAAATTGAAACAACTTTTTGTAAATTAATATTTGAATACTATGGTCATGCATGATCCCAAGTAGATCACATAAATCTTTTTGTTTCTTAGAATGAAGTTTGATAATAAGTTTATAACACCTTACTATAAATGTATTACCTAGTGTAAATATGCACTCTAGATATTCAGGTGTTGCAACTAAGCAGAAACATTACATTAGTTTATACTTATTACTAAAAAATATAAGCACACATATATGTTTACGCACTACAGTTTCAAGTTTTGCACCACTTTAAGATACTGCTAATCACAATTAGAAACAATGGAAAAGAAATTGATCCACCAACTTTTACATGTCCATCTAGAATTTCATATGTAAAAGACACGATGGCACAAGGTATAGAGGCTGATACATAGGTTTTGTCATATAAATCAAAACAATATATTTTTATCAAAATAAATCATTTTATCAAAAAAATTATTTTATTAATAAAAATAAAAAAAACTTCCCATATTCATCAAAAATAATAATTTTATAAAGTAAAATAAAGTTTTTTGAAAAATCGATATCTCAAAATCTCCTAAAATTGAACAGCATTTCAAGCAAGAAACGACCCTCAATATTTGGATAATCGAACAAATCAATACACAACTACCATAAAAGCTTCGATCACCCTTTCAAATGCACCAAAAATTATAAAAAAAATATTCGGTATCTTTTATTTAGTTGAAAAAATCATGGAAAATTCAGACATGTGAAATCAAGCATGAAAAAAATTCATATAAAAATATTTACTCAATGATAAGTAAGCATACATGGTTTATGTGATAGATGAAGCCTTGATGATCAAAATACATAAATCAATTTGATAAAAAACAACCAATATTGATTCAAAATCTGTTTTTTTTTTATCGAACACAAGTTCTTTGAGCAACAGCATTTTAGGCCCAAAATCAACCCCCAATGTTTTGTTTTTTGAACAAATTGAAAGAGGTATATGATAGATGATTCGATTAGGATTAAAAAACCTCAAATTTCAGCAAAAACTATTGGCTATTGAAGGTGGTATTGATCAAATGGCGGAAATTTCAAAAGGCGTGAAAATCCGCCATTTCAATCCACAAAATCTCTTTATTTTTTGCTTGTTTTGCAAACAATAAATAGTGTTTTACAGCCATAAAGCATGACAAACGCCAAAAAATAGTAGAAAAAATAATTAAAAAAGCTGAAAAATCAACTTGTAAATTTTTGCATCAAAGGCATCAATTGAAAAGGACGGGTGTTATTTTAACTATACCGTTATTTGTTCATAGAACTCGTTATATCACTAACCGGTCTGGTTAGTTGAAAAACTGGCCAGTTTTACCAAACACGGCCAGTTCAACCCATAACCGGCTGTTTTTGGGCTTCAAAATTTATAAGGTAGTACCTTAGGCTAGGAGATCACCAAAACCGCCCCTAACCGGACTCAAAGTTAATCAGTCGGTTTTTCCAAAGCTAGAAAGACCCCATAAAAGAAAAGATTACAAGTTCTAAAATAGTGCTTCTTATAACCTATAATCTGAACAGTCCATTTTGAAGACTTTGAGGTAATTATAGCTTTGCTTTGTCAGCACTTCTACTAAACTTTAAATTCTATAATTAGGAATAAAAATAAATGTTCAGGTCATTATAAGATTTCCAGCATCTGAATATGGTGCGTAAAGGTGGGCGTTACTTTCATTATTGCCAAAAGATATTTTACTCATGGGGGAGTATAATGTCCATTTACTCCCTTGGGTAAAATTCCAGCTAGAATTAGGGTTAGGGCCCCAATATTTAGGGAAGTAACCTCTTCAACCCATAAGCTAACCTCAATAAAAGAAATTCCCTTAGTGTACCTTTTGAGGAGACTATCCAATTTTTAAATGGTGAGATCTTAGTCTTAAAAAACTCAAATTTCAAATTTATTTTGACAATGATCATCTACTAATTCTTAAGTGATTTCTAAAATTTCAGATTGAAAAAATCCTTCTAACTAGGCCTTTCCATTGAGGAAGTAGAAGTAAAATATGCTCCCGAAGGAGCATAGTACCCGTATGCAAATGTTTGTTGTGCACGCCTCGAGTCCTATAGTGCTGGCCTTCACCAAAAATAGGTGCCTCAAGGTCCACC